CTTGTGAGCAGAAATTCTACTTTGTGAGCTGCTGGCATTAAAGCTGCGAGTGAGCGATTTGGCTACTGCATCAATTAGTTTGCTCTAGAGCCATCCTTCCCGAGCTAAGGCAAAAATGTGTGAGCTGGAGGCTAAGAAACTGTGAGCTAGCTCACACTAACTCAGCTTAGAGGGAATACTGGCGCCAACCACAAAATGGCCACCTGAGAAGCCCAAGCGCAGGGGGGCGTAAGAGGGGTAAATTTTAAAAATACACTGGGAAAGAGGTGTCAGAGAGAGAGAGAGAAACAATAAAACCAACTCTGTAGTGGCAGCTGTCGCTGAAATGTTATTTCAATCTTTACAGCCAATCAGGTCTCAGATGGGCAATTGGAAGTCCTACTGGGCAGGAGCCACCTGGCCCCGCCCATTTTCTGAAAAGACTTGGCGGCAATGTTCCCTCTAAGCTGAATTAATGTGAGCTAGCTCAGTTTTTTTTAGCCTCCGGGTCACACGTTTTTGTCTTGGCTCAGGAAGGATGGCTCCAGAGCAAACTAATTTATGCAGGAGCCAAATCACCGGCTTACAACTTTCATGCCAGTAGCTCACAAAGTAGGATTTTTGCTCACAGGACTCCATAGTTTAGAGGGAGCATTGCTTGGCGGGGGCCATGAGACTTGTTGGTGGGCACTCTGGTGCCCTGGGCATGACACTGGGGATCCCTGAACTAGCCAGTCTTAAGAAAATGTGCCCCAGGAATAGAGAAATTCACCTTAAAGGTCGCTTGCAATTGGACTTGATAATCTTCTTCCCCCGCCTCTCTTCTTATTGAGCTCCATGTTTGCAATTAAAAAAAAAGATTTCATTTAAAACTGTTACTTTGTTCTCAGTGAAAAATATGTGCAAATTATTTTGGGGGTAGGGGGAGACCCTGTTCTTCTGGTACCAGATGAAAGCTGTCCAAATATAATTTTTAAATCATAATTTTTCATCTACTCGTAAGACCAAAGCTGTTGATTTAGGTCAGTTTCCTTCTTATTTCAGTCCACGTCTTGTATGTAAGCTACTGTGGAGATCCTTCATTAGTGCAAAAGCAAGGTGTAGGTCGTTTACATGTGCACAAAGCCCACCTGCTTTGCCAGCAGGCTAACCATTACTGCGTTCTGCTTTCCCACCCCCAGTGAGCCCCACCCCCCAGGAAGTAGAAGAAAGACCCCTGCAAGGATTGCCGCAATGCCCAGTGGAAGAGCACCCCAGCTTGGTAAGGGGATCACGGATGGTGGTGGCGGAGAAAAGCAAGAGTGCATCTGGAGCTGCAGCAGAGGGTTTGGGAAGAGACCCTTTGGCATTTGTGACTACATAGCCATCATATGTTTTGGATTAGGATGAGGAGGGGCAGGCTTCCGTCGCCGTTTTTGCAATGTTTTTGTACTTCTGTCAGAGGATTTCACAGACCCTGACAGACCTTTCAATCCACTTTTCTTGCACTTTGCAACTGCATTTTACTGTGGGCTTTTCCGCATTGTCATTTTTCTTGCTTATGTGTTCCTGTTGCTTCAGGGTTTTTTCCTATTCCGCACATGTTTTGCTCCCTCCAGTGGTTGATTCCATGTTATGTCGCTTTATGTCTGGCATATCTCACTGCAGATCGAACTGCAGATTTTTATGCGGGACGTAAAGCAATGTAATATTGAATCGACCACTGGAGGGAGCAAAACATGTGCTGAACAAAAATAAACACCCAAGCAAAAGGAACACACAAGCAAGGAAAATGATGCGGAAAAGCCCAGTGTGAAATGGCAAAATCCACATGCAAAGGATGCCTATAGTGCATTGAAAGTGGATTGAAAGTGCGTTATTCAGCAAGTGCGAAAACACTAAGAATGAAACTCCCATAAATCCTTTCTTGTTTCCCCTTCTCAAACATCTGCCTAAATATCCTCTTCCTTACCTTATTCATGAAACTACACAAAGAGACCCCCCCAGGTTTAGCCAGGCAGTGGGTGGAGGGGAGGGGAAGAGTCTGTCTTTCAGCCTTTCAGTTTTATTTTGGGTTGTACATCGCCCAGAGCCCTGCAGTAGCATGGGTGGGGCGGTTCAATGATGATGATGATGATGATGATGATGATGATGATGATGATGATGATGGTAATAATAATAATACAATCTATAAAATTGGTGGCCATGTTGTGGTGGCTAGCTGGAGCTCCCATATTCAGAAGCAGTGTACCTCTAGATATCAGATATACTATGTGGGCTCTTCTGTGCAGAAGCTTGTCAGAGGCCCTGTTCATACGAGCCCATTTGGGCTGGGAGCGGGACGGAACGGGGGCGGAGCAAACGGCCGCAATCCCACCTCACAATAATAATAATAATAATAATAATAATAATAATACAATCTATAAAATTGGTGGCCATGTTGTGGTGGCTAGCTGGAGCCCCCATATTCAGAAGCAGTGTACCTCTAGGTATCAGATATACTATGTGGGCTCTTCTGTGCAGAAGCTTGTCAGAGACTCCTTGATAAGAAGCAAACACGCTTCTCTTGGAAGGATCTTTGGCAGCCACAGCTGGCCTTCCCTCACAATGTGCAGTCCCGGGAACGCATCGAGTGCTCTCTCTTTGCATGCACCAAGAGCTGGGGTGCAACAGTTTGTCCAGCAACTTATGCCAGATGGTGCCTCAAACACACCCCAGGATCTTCTGCAAGCCACAGAGTTTGAATGGGTGTCACTATTTAAACCCAAAAGGCATAACAAAATGCTACAATAACCCTATTGTCTAAAGCAACAGTCCCATAAACATAAACCACAGCTTTTAAAAAAAAAGTTTGAATGATGGACATGGAGTTCTTGGTGGACAGTGAATGTAGATTCCCTGAGGATGTGTGTGTGAAGTGTCGTCAAGTCACAGCCGACTACGGTAACCCCAGCAAAGAACTTTCAAGCAAGTGATACAGCAGAGGTGGTTTGCCCTTATTTTCCTCTGCAGAGTCTTCCTTGGAGGTCTCCCTCCCAAGCACCAACCCTTCTTCGCTTCCAAGATCTACTGAGATTGAGCTATACTGTGCTGCCTTCCCTCCCTCACTGAAGATAGGCAGTCTGAAAAACACTTTCCTACCCTGCCCTGACCTGAACATCCCAGGCTAGCCCGATCTCCTCAGATCTCGGAAGCTAAGCAGGGTTGGCCCTGGATGGGAGATCACAAAGGTGTAATGGTTAAGAGTGGCGGACTCTAATCTGGGATTCCCCACTCCTCCACGTGAAGCCAACTGGGTGACCTTGGGTCAGTCACAAGCAATGTTCCTTCTAAGCTGAGTTAGTGTGAGCTAGCTCACATTTTTTTAGCCTCTGGCTCACAGATTTTGGTCTTAGCTCAGGAAGGATGGTTCCAGAGCAAACTGATTTATGCAGCAGCCAAATCACCTGCTCACAACTTTAATGCCGGTAGCTCACAAAGCAGAATTTTTGCTCACAAGACTCCACAGCTTAGAGGGAACATTGGTCACGAGTTCTCCCAGAGTTCTCTCAAGGGCAGTTCTCGAGAGAGCTCTCTCAGCCCCACCTACCTCACAGGGTGTCTGTTGAGGGGAGGGAAAGGGAAGGCCATTGTAAACTGCTCCAAAACTACTACTATTACTACTACTTCTCCTCCTTCTCTACACAGAGGCAGGCAATGGCAAATCACCTCCATTCCTCTCTTGCCTTTAAACCACCCTGAGAGGTTGCTATAACTTGGCTGCAACTTGATGGCACTTTCCACCCCTACACATTGTCTAGGGTGCGGGGGTCCCCAACTTTTTTGTGCCTGTGGACACTTTTGGAATTCTGGCAAAGGGCGGCAGGTACAGTCACGAAATGGCTGCTGCAGGAGGTGGGGCTAACCACAAAACTTCAGGGATGGAAATTATATACCACTCTAATAGTAACCCTTCAACATTTCAGCCAGAAGCTCTGTTTAACAGAGTACCTTTTAGGTGTTGTAGATTTTCCGGGCCAAGACTACAATGGCCAAGACTATGGCCATACAGCCCAGAAAATCTACAACAACTAATGAACTCCGGCCGTGAAAGGCTTCGACAACATAACGTACCTTTTAATCAGCACAGCCAATCGGAAGCCTTGCTGTGCCAAGCCCCCACCTAGCCCCACCCACTTTCTAACAGCACTTGGTGGGTGCCAGGAAAGGGTGTCGGCAGGGACCACGTTGGGGGTCTCCTGCTCTAGGATTCTTATATGGCCCACACTTTCGGGATGCTTTTAGGACGACATGGGGGTTTTATTCCTGCGGCACCCCTGGATTCACAGACTGCTTCTTTGTTGTACCGCACCCTCCGCCCTACACAGGAAGCAGAAAAGGGGAGCGCAAACCTCCTGGAGGACCCCAGCAGCTTCCCTGTTCGTTTGCTCATGAAGGGATCGTTGAACAACAACAGCTCTGAAGCAGACGGTGAGTGGGGAAAAAGCTGGAAGCCAGTCGGGGCTCAGGTAGGGGGTGGCAGAAAAGCTGTGTGGGGGGGAGTCCTGGAATGAAGTGATGGAGGGCAATTCTGCAGTTAAAGGCACAGGGGCAGTGCCAGGGGAAAAGGTAGCCACCAATAGTGGGAGGGACCGTGGCCAACGCTGAAACAGGAATAGGCCACAAAGCTGTCAAGCTTGATACCCCTCCCCTTCCGCATGCTGTGCCTTATACCTGTACCAGTCTTGTGTGTGGCGGAGGGACCCTCGACCTATGGCAGAAGCAGATGAGATTGTTCTATGCCTCAGATTCAAGCTACATCCCTAAATCACTCAGGAAAGCAGACCTTTTAGAGGGATTCGCGTCCTCCCGGGGTAACTGAACACACATAACCCAAATGGAGTTAAAAGAGCAGCCCTGACAATGGTCTGAAAGGATGTCACTGTTAGGGATTTCAGTGTAAAAAGCAGAGATCGTAAATGCAGCAGAGCCACTTGTATTAGCCTTTAAACAAGAAAGTTTGCTTTACTAATGAGGGAAGGGGTGCTGGGGAATACGACAAACAAAAGAAAGGATTAACATCCTCTCTGACTATACTGACCTACATCTTGACTCTCTAAAGTCTAAACCACACATGTGCTGGCCCCAGAGCAATAAACTTTCTGAGCCTCCACCCCTGGGACATCTTCTAATCTATTGATTACCCAATTGGAGAAACCCAAACCTAACTAATTATGCATTTTAGCACTTTGCTCCGGTGGCAAGTACGTGCAGGGTCTGCTATCGGTTCTCTCACTAAACAGCTAGGATATCAGCATGCATATAGGTAAAGGTAAAGGTTTCCCTTGCTCAAAAGCCAGTCGAATCCAACTCTAGGGCGCGGTGCTCATCTCCGTTTCCAAGCCGAAGAGCCAGTGCTGTCCAAAGACTTCTCCGTGGTCATGTGGCTGGCATGACTAGACACCGAGGTGCACGGAACGCTGTTACCTTCCCACTGAAGTGGTACCTATTTATCTACTTGCAATTTCTTGCTTTCGAACTGCTAGGTTGGCAGGAGCTGGGGGCCAGAGATGGGAGCTCACTCCGTCACGCGGCATTCGGGTCTCGAACTGCTGAACTACCGACCTTCCAGTCTGCAGTTCAGCATCTTAACCACTTGAGCCACCGCAGCTCCTACAAGCATGCATATAGGTAAAGGTAAAGTTTCCCTTGCTCGAAAGCCAGTCGAATCCGACTCTAGGGCGTGGTGCTCATCTCCGTTTCCAAGCCGAAGAGCCAGTGCTGTCCAAAGACTTCTCCGCCATCCTTTCTGAGCTAAGACAAAAATATGTGAGCTGGAGGCTAAAAAACTGTGAGCTAGCTCACGCTAACTCAGCTTAGAGGGAACACTGGTAACCAGTTTCATTTCAACAGAACATTTACTCTCGATCTTTATGAGACGGCATTTGATTAGTTCTGTCTACCGGCAGTTTTAAATTATTGATTTTAACGAGTGGCCTTTAATGTATTTTATTACTATTTACTTTGTAAGCCACCTTGAGTTCCGACAAGGTAGAAAGTGATGTACATTCTTCCATGATCTCAGGGAGAGAACTTGCAAACTCCAGTAGTAACCAGCTTCATTTCAACAGAACATTTACTCTCAATCTTTATGAGATGGCATTTGATTAGCTCTGTCTACCGGCAGTTTTAAATTATTGATTTTAACGAGTGGCCTTTAATGTATTTTATTGCTATTTACTTTGTAAGCCACCTTGAGTTCCGACAAGGTAGAAAGTGGGCTGATGAATGTTTTAAATAAACAAATAAGTGAAACAGAGGAAGGAATAACGATTCCTTAACTTCACTGTTACCCTGCCTTACCTGAGATGGCCTCGTGGAGCCACCCAGCTTCAGGGGATGTCTGGAGCAACATTTATTGACTTCATTTATACCACACCTTTCTCCTCAGCGGGGACTCAAAATGGCTTACATCATTCTCCTCTTCTATTTATTTCTTTGTATCCCACCGTTCACCCCAATGGCCACCAGCCAAAGCGGCTTGCCTCATTCTTCTCTCCTCTGTTTTATCCTCACAACAACCCTGTGTGAAAAGTTTAGGCTGAGAGTGTGTGACTGGCCCAAGGTCACCCAGCGAGATTCCATGGCTTGCGTGGGGATTCAGACCTGGATTTCCTAGAACCTTCTCTATGTTACCTTCACAGCAACCCTGTATGGAAGGTTAGGCTGAGAGTATGGGACTGGCTCATGGTCACCCAGCAAGCTTCTGTGGCAAACTGTAGATTCCAATCTGGGTCTCTGAGATCCTAATCAGATACTCTAAATCTCTACACCACACAGGCTCTCAATATCACATATAACACAATATCGCTTATAGCTGAGCCAGTTTAGTGTAGTGGTTAAGAGCGGCGGATTCTTAGAACCAGGTTTGATTCTCCACTTCTCCACATGCAGCCAGCTGGGTGACCTTGGATCAGTCACAGTTCTCTCGGAACGGCGGAACGGTCTCAGCCCCACCTACCTCACGGCCGTGTCTGTTGTGGGGAAAGGAAGGCAATTGTAAGCCACTTTGAGACTCCTTCGTGTAGTGAAGGGCGGGGTATAAAACCAACTCTTCTTCTTCTTTTCAAGGACACACACACACCCCTTTGAACACATGAACGTCTCCAATGCCACTGGAAACCTATATTAAAGGATTTCATGGCTTTTGCTTTTGAATTTGGCTCTTTTTCACATGGACCTTTCTCTGTGGTCTGCCCCAGCCCTTGTGTTCTTTTGCTCTCCAAGGAGGGTCACCCTGTCGTGATGGATTTATACCGAACACATGTCCAACTTGACAGGGCTTGGAGCAGGGCTGCCAAACTCCAGGTTGGGCTTGGAGAGCTCCCACTATTACGGCTGATCTCCAGACACCAGAGATCAGTGCCCCGGGATAAAATGGCTGCTTTGGAGGGGGGACTCTACGGCATCGTACCCTGCAGAGGTTCCTCCCTTCCCCAAATCTCACCCTCCCAAGGATCCACCCCCCCCCCCAAATCTCCAGGTATTTCCCAACCCAGAGCTGGCAACCCTACCATGGAATGGCTGACCCTGTGACCTCTGGCTCCCCCAAGAGGACCCATGAAACCTAAGGGGGATTGGGGACTCTGGCCTAGATCTCTGGAGTCTTCTGCATGGCACGTCATCACCCCATTTTCTTACCCAGCCGTCTCCCTTCAGGGGATGCCGAATGGAGCCAAGGAGGCACCCTGGAGACTGCTGATAGAGTGCTGAGGACTTGCCTGAAGAGGATCTCTCTGGGTAAGGCTGAAGCCTTCTTTGACTGATTCCCCTTTGAGACGATAGACCTTAACTCTGGCCTGGGGTCTTACAGGCCCCTCCCTGCCTTCGCTGTGCCTTTTGCTGCCCACAGCAGGACAAGAACCAGTTTCCCACCAGTCTCTGGGATCTGTGGGGCCTTTCTGAGGATCAGAGGGCCATCTAAGCCAGGGGTGTCAAATATAAGCCCTGGGGGCCGGAATCGGCCCGTCTAGGGCTCTTATGTGGCCCACAAGCAACTGGTGAGGGAGGGAGTGCTGGGGGGAGTGGGCGGAGCCACTCCATTGTGGTTTCAGCAGGGCAGAACAACCTTATCTGCAGCAGTCAAGCATCGTGGGGGCATGGGCTGCGTCTCTAGTCCGCCCATGTGGGTTTCCTCTGCACTCCCCTCCCAGCCCATGGGGCCTTGCAGTGAGGATACACCAACTCAGATCTTACCAGCTGCTGTCCTTTATACAGTGTATATCTCTAGTACCTGGCCTTGTTTTTTATGGCACACATGGCCCGGCCCAACAAAGTGACATGTATATCAGATCCAGCCCTCATAACCTCTGATCTAAGCCACCAGCCAAAGCACAGGGTCCATCTTTGGACAGAGAGCTTAGGCAGATTTCTTTCCTCAGCCTTCCTAGTCTGGAAGGCTCCAAGTGCAAGGCTCCCAGTAGGTAGTTAAGTGAGGGGTGAGAGGCAATGGTAAGAGACACTGCAGGACCCTGAACCCATCCTGACTACCAGAAGTGTTGTCTGTTTCTGATTCCACCCAGTTGTCAATCCCCTTTTTCAGGGCTTTTTTGTAGATAAAGCCTAGCAGGAACTCATTAGCATATTAGGCCACACCCTGACAGCACAGCTCATTCACATATTAGGCCACAACCCCATGTTACCAGAAGGGTGGTCATCCAACCACACCTACCTTTTGCTTCTTATTCTCTTTACCTTGTTTGTTGTCAAAACCCAGGGCTTTTTGCATGTTAGGCCACACACCCCTAATTGTAGCCAATCCTAATGAGTTTCTGCTGTTGGGTGTGGCCTATTATGCTAATGAGTTCCTGCTGGGTGTGGCCAACTTGGGAGCCAGCCGGAACTCCGTTCCTGTGTGTTCCTGCCCAAAAATAGCCCTGCCCTTTTTCACATTGTTTATGTGTGAGGGCCGACCTACATGTTACCTGTGATACTATGTCCATGTTGCAGACAGACATGATGTTGGGGAACCAGTGTTCCCAAGCGTGCTTCCTCTCCCTAGACTCCACCCCCAAAATCTCGAGGCACTTCCCAACCTGGAGATGGCAGCCCTATATCCCACTGAGATCCCTCCCTAAGCCCCATCCTCCTCAGGTTCCACCCCAAATCTCCAGGAATTTCCCCAACCCAGAGATGGCAACCTTACCTTTGCACCCTTGACCCAACGTGCCACAGGTAACGTGTAGTTTGGTCCTCCAAGTATGCTCATTCTACAGTTGTACTGTGGAAATGTTGGGTTTTTAAATTTCTTTTTACAGAAGCAAGTTTCTAGTCCTCAGTAGACTAAAGAAGTTGTTGCTGAAATCTCAGGAGCCAGCAGAAGGGCTGAGTTGCCGTTCCAGTGACCAGGGGAATTTGGCCTTCCCCATAACTTTCAGCATAAATCATGCAAAAATATGCCAGTCCGCATATTTGCACTCTGGATGCCAACTGCATATCTTTGTTCCTAGGTTAGGGTTCCGTATGCAGCCACGGCCAGTAAAAACTGAGCGCTGTTGTAGATCCCCCCCCCCCCAGTTAATAATGGGAGTTTTTCAGAGTGCTCAATTCTGTAGCCGATCCTAGTCCAGTATCTCAAACCTCTCTGTCCTTGCAGCCACACAGAACCCAAAGAACCAGCAACAGACGGGTCCTGTCCGGATGGTCACCAAATGGGTGGATTATTCCAACAAGTATGGCTTTGGTTATCTGCTGTCGGATGGGTCAACAGGGGTCCTCCTTGCTGATGGAACGCATATCGCACTCTGCCCTCGGCGCCAGTGGGTATCTCCCTGCCACCCCCCAGTCTCTTTTTGGGTGCTTGTTCAAAATGATGTCAGTTACAGAGCGTTCACAGAGGAGGAGAAGTCTATCAGTCATGGTTAGCCATGATAAATAAATGGAACCTCCAGCTTCAGAGGGAGTCTGCCTCTGAATACAAGTTGCTGTGGGATCAAAAACTGAGGGAGGGGCTGCTGCCTTCATGTCTTGGTTGTGAACTTCCTGTAAGCATCTGAGGGACTGCTGTGGAGATCAGGAGGCGTGGGGAATCAAACCCGGTTCTCCCAGATTAGAGTCCACGCGCTTAACCTCTACGCCAAACTGGCTCTCCAAAAAGGCTTGGGTCGTGTATTGATATAAATAGTAATACACAAAGGCACCACAACACCTACAGCCCCAAACAGCCTTTCCCACCAGGATCTGGAATAGTGTTTGCAGTTCCGGTTGTCGGAGCCTTTGGTCCATCCCGGCCATATAATTTTGCGGCGCTTCCTCTTGCTCCGCTCCAGGCATGTCTGCTACTGTACAGAAGTCCAGGAGGCCGTGTCTTTCCCACGGAGAGAGGTGCCCCCATCCTTGGCCACGAAAATGGGCATCCTTCATTTCTTCACCCAATACATGCAGCAGCGGCTGATGGAGGTGAGGAAGGGGGGCAACTAGAGAAGGGAGGAGCTTTGTCTCCAACTTTCCCTTGATTGGCATTTTGCAAACAGAGACTCTTGCATCACCTGTGGCAGAGGAAGGCGCCACCACTAACAGAACGGAGCTGCCAGCTCCAATCCAATATATCGATCAATAAAGAGATATGTTTTACCCTGCAAGCCTCTTGAAATGCCTTCTGACTCACCTTAAAAGCCATCTAAAGACAGCCATTAGACTCCCGAATCACAATAAAAATACAGGGACAGTCTTGCATAGTGGTTAGAGTCCCAAACCAGGACGTGGGAAGGCCAGGTTTACGTCACGGAGGGCACAACAACCGATGCCACTCTTGGTGGGGTAGAGCAAGACAGACACAACCCAGGTAAATAAATAAGTGGTGTGAGGGGGTCAAGAACAACAATGCAATACGTACGACACCACCAAATAAATTTGAACTGAAGGGCCAGATCTACTGGAGAAGGGGAACACGATCGCTACTCACATGTCATGTTCAGTCTTTCATTTAGATCTTGTAAACAAGAAATGAAAGAACTGTGAGAATATTTATGTCCCTAAAATGGCGTAAGGAGCTGCGGTGGCTCAAGTGGTTAAGAAGCTGAACTGCAGGCTGTGGAAGGTCCGTAGTTCAGCAGTTCGAGACCCGAGTGTGCCACATGACGGAGTGAGCTCCCGTCTCTAGTTCCAGCTCCTGCCAACCTAGCCGTTCGAAAGCAAGAAATTGCAAGTAGATAAATAGGGACCACTTCGGTGGGAAGGTAACAGCGTTCCGTGCGCCTTGGTGTTGAGTCATGCCGGCCACATGACCACGGAAACGTCTTTGGACAGCGCTGGCTCTTCGGCTTGGAAACGGAGATGAGCACCGCAACCCTAGAGTCGGATTCAACTGGCTTTTGAGCAAGGGAACCTTTACCTTTTAAAATGGGGTAGTTTGGGAAAAGTTGATGTTAAAGATCAGGAAAGGGTAGCAGAAATGGTACAGGACCTTTTATTTTCTTTCTTTCTTTCGTGTGTGAGAACATGCCTCCCAAATTCTGGCCTGCCCTTTTCATCTTCCCTAAAGATCTGCTGCAGCAACTCTTTGGACAGTTGGCGGGAGGGAGGACTTTGATAGACGTGAATGAATATATCATCAGGAGCTTCATGGGAAGAGCACGTTTATTCTGTCCAGCTGTGAATGTTTGGTATCCTCCTTTTGAAAGCCAGGCATGGGGGCTGGAAACAGACCAGAGGAAATACAGAATACTTCATTGGTCTTTGGAACTCATGGCTAGGGGATTTTGTGGACTTTGGGGGTCCACTAGGAGAGTACTCAGAGGAAGGAGAGCTGGATCTCCTTTTGGTTATTAGCCATGGCAACTAAAAAGACAACCGTCCCAGTTCAGAACCCAGCTAGGGCTACTCCCCCCTGGCCCTGTTGGGTGGATTCAGGGAAACATCAGGCCAGCTAGAGAGGACGGAGGCACTCCTGGGATTCCTCCGGGCCCTACAGCCTCCTCTCCTTCCTGTTTATGCAGGGGGGGTATTGAACCTTTGCTCCTCTGCAGGGTGGCCACCAGCCGGCAGATCCCGCGGGCTCCGCAGACAACGTTCACCTCCTGCATTTTGCAAAGTCCGACGAAGCCCTGCTGATGCTTTTCAGTAACGGGACCCTGCAGGTAAATTGTGAGTCCCCAGATCACACATTTCCGCACACACATAAATACCCCCCTTTGCACCCACTCCCGAGTCGTCCTGGTCCACCTTCCCGGTGAAACAGTTTTAAGCAGGTCAGCCTGCCGGAGTCCGACCCCTGGTTGGGTGGGAAGTGCCGTCAAGTCACAACCAGTGTTCCCTCTAAGATGAGTTAGTGTGAGCTAGCTCACCGTTTTTTAGCCTCCGGCTCACACGTTTTTGTCTTTGCTCAGGAAGGGATGGCTCCAGAGCAAACTGATTTATGCAGGTGCAAAATGGCTTGCTCACAACTTTAAGGCCAGTAGTTCACAAAGTAGAATTTTTGCTCACAGGACTCCACAGCTTAGAGGGAACATTGGTCACAACCAGGGCTATTTTGGGGCAGGAACGCACAGGAACGGAGTTCCGGCTGGCTCCCAAGTTGGCCACGCCCAGCAGGAACTCTTTAGCATAATAGGCCATACCCAACAGCAGAAACGCATTAGAATTGGCTACATTAGGGTTGTGTGGCCTAACATGCAAAGGAGTTCCTGCTACAAAAAAAGCCCTGGGTTTTGACCACAAACAAGGTCAACAGAATAAAAAGCAAAAGGTGGGCGTGGCTGGATGACCACACTTCTGGTAACGTGGGTGTGTGGCCTAATATGCTAATGAGCTGTGCTGTCTGGGCTGTGGCCTAATATGCTAATGAGTTTCTGCTGTTGGGTGTGGCCTATTATGCTAATGAGTTCCTGCTGGGCTTTTTCTACAAAAAAAAAGCCCTGGTCACAACAGACTTATGGTGACCCCTGTGGGGGTTTTCAAGGCAAGAGATATTCAGAGGCGGTTGGCCATTGCCTGCCTCCGTGTAGTGACCCTGGACTTCCTCGGCAGTTTCCCATCCAGGTCCTAACCGGGGCCAGCCCTGCCTAGCTTCCAAGATCTGCTGAGACTGGGCCAATCCACACCCACCTGCTTTCCATGGGTCTCTCTCACCCATTGGGGTTTCTCCCCCCCCCCAGGTCAATTTCTACCACGACCGCACAAAGATCGTCCTCAGTTGCCAAGCTGGAGAGTACCTCTTGACGTTTGTAGACCGCCAGCGCCGGAGCACCACCTTCCCCATGGAAACCCTGCTGCAGGAAGGGTGGACGCTGCCCCTCCGAGAGCGGATGGAGTATGCCCTGCGCATGTTACACTGCCTGTAGCGACCCCACCCCATGCTCCCATCCCTGGCCGCCAGAAACAGATGCAGGAATGTGAAGACCCGCCTGTGAGGTTCTGCCGCACCTGGGACTGTTCGCGGGCTCATGGGATAGATTTCGCACTCTTCCACAGCACCTTTTTTATTTCCTCCCAAGAGTGGAAAAAATTGGCGACGAGGCTGGAATATTTGGAACTCTCCAGAGTGCTATTTTGGAGCTGATGGATGTAGTCAGTGATGGGGAATGTATTGCAGAGCTGCGAATGTGTACGGTGATGGTATGCATGTCATGGGGGAATGACCTCAACATCTGGGCAAGATCTCTGTGGCTGGAAAGAGGAGGGAAGGATACAGGGTGAGAACGTTGCAGAGGCAACGGTGAAGGGCAGAGAATGCAGGAGTGGCTGGCCAGTGGGCATCCGTGGGAGGCCAGGAAGTCAAGAAAGGAGGTGGAGAGGTTTGTCTCCTCTTTAAGACAGGGAAATGGGATTGGAGAGGCTGCAGCCACAGGAGTACCTACAGGTGATTTTCACCCGCCATTTTTTTTTAGGTTGGCGATATGCGCTTGGGCGAAGCTTTGCCCTGGCGTTTGTTTTTTTAAAAAAGAAAAAGGTCCTTAGTTTAAGGTGTTAGAGGAGTCCGGGACCTCAGGGAGGCCAGTTTGGTTTTTAAACTTTAAAGGTACGTCCTCTCTTCAGGGCATGCTTTTCGGGACGGGGTGTTTTGCGCATGCGCGAAGATCGCCATTCTGTGGATGGCTGCCTATGTGCATGCGCAAACTGAGTTTAAAAAAAAAAAAAACGCCGACGCCTGTGTGTGAACGGGCATACAGCGATGGGCTCCGCAGATCGGAGGTAAGTGTGATCGTGTTTCAGCCGGTTGGAACCGGTGCAGTTTCTGCCGGCTGAAACGCCCCGTCTGAACGCATCCATTCAAATACAAAATTGAAGATTCTGGTGCTGTGTTGACAGCTGCTGCCAAGGCAACTCCATTGCAAATCTGCACAGCTGATTAAACCCCCAGTGGCCAATTAGAAGGCGTGCTGGGCAAAAGCCCCACCTGCTTTCCAAAAAGCACTCGGCAGGCACCAGGAAAAGTGCTGGTAGGCAGCTTGGTGCCCATGGACTCCACGTTGGGGATCCCTGGATTAGTCCTCCATCCAGCTAGCCTTGCCTCCTGTGGCTGGCAGCTGCTGACTAAGATCTCAAGCAGAGAAAGGTCTGTTCCAGCAGCTACTCCTGGAGAGGCCTGGACTGAACCTGGGATACTTTGCAAGCAAAGCATGTGCCTAATCACCAAGGGATGGCTCTGAAAGCAGAGCAGCGGTGCTGTAGATTTTTGCCCAGGAACACATGGAGCTGCCTTATCCTGAACCAGTACATGAAACAAATACTGCAAATACTGCAACAGTGCATATAATGAAGGATGTTGATATGATGTGTAATCACTTCATGATTACACAACGGTCTCACACAACGGTCTCAGTACGCCCGACTTATTCATTCTGTTGCCAAGAGCTTTTGAAATTCTGCATTGAACTGGAAAGAGTTGTTACTAAAGGTCTCGTGATGTATGGATTTGGAACTGAGACCATTGTGTGAAAAAGAGAGTTCGAAACGAACGGTAGCTCTGGGGAAGTTCGTCCTTCATTAACCATCTGTTGACGTCCTGCTGTGAAAAAGAATAAACATCATGAAGTGATTACACATTGTATCAACATCCTTCATTATATGCACTGTTGCAGTATTTGTTTCATGTACTGATATTGTCATACTGCTGCCCCTTGTACTTTTCTATTGTATTATCCTGAACCAGACCATCGGTCCATCAAGGCCAGTCTGCTCAGACAAGTTCTCCATGGTCTTTCACCTCACCTATTACCTGGTCTGTTCAACTGGAGATACCAAGAATTGAACCTGAGGCCTTCTGCATGCCAAGCAGAGGCTTTTCCACTGAGCCACACACCCCTTTCAGAGAAGCTGTCTGATGCAGAGAGTCCAAGCTTTGGTCCATCTTGCTCGGGATTGGCTCCTCGAACTGGCAGTGGGTCTCCAGAAGGCCAGGAGTGGAAAGGCTTCTCTCAGCAGCTATTACTGAAGGTCCTGTAACTCAGGACCCTTCTGCATGCAAAGCATCTGCTCTGTCACCAAGGCACACTTTCTCCCCATTTTGCATGAATATGTAAACCTGCCTGATGCAAAGTCAGACAGACCCCTTACTCCAGGGGTCCCCCCAGCCTTTTTTGAGCCTGTGGGCACCTTTGGTGGCGGGCGCAACCACAAAATGACCACCATGGGAGGCAGAGCCAACCACAATCGCAGAGGAAGGCTGAAGTGCAGGGCATAAGAGGTATAAACGTTGAAAATACACTAAGAATGAAGAGCCAGAGACAGAATAAAACCAACACTGTATAGACAGCTGTCTTCACAGCCAATCAGATCTCCAGTGAGCAATCGGAAGCCCTACTGGGCAGGAGACCACCTGCCTTCCCCCCCAACTTCCTAAAAATATTTGGTGGGCGCCAGGAAGGATGGTGGTGGGTGTCATGGTGCCCCTGGGCACCATGTTGAGGACCCCTGCTGTACTCCATCTTACTCCATTTTATCTGCTCTGATGGACAGTAGCTCTCCAAGGTTTCAGGCAGAGAAAGGTAGAAGATCCTGAAAAAAAACCTTTTATATGTTTAACTGGGAATGCTGGGGACTGAAGCTGAGATCTTATGTATGCAAAGCAAGAATTGTGGCATTCCCACCGAGGTCTTGACTGCTGGACATTAAGGTAACGGACAGAAGGTGTTCGATGCAGAGCAAAATACCCTGGAGTGAAAGCTTTGGGAGAGGGGCCGTCTTAATTCCCCCACCACCTGCCCCATCAACACAATTACAAAGAGAAGCTTCATGGAGGAGTGGTTAAATTCTCAGGTGTGAATTGAGGTCCATTTGGAAAGGTGTGAGGAGGAGAGATCACCGGCACGAGAGTCTGTTCCCGAGGCAGGGGTGGTGGTGGTGGCTGATGGAACTGGATAATGTCTGTTTTCAGCTCGGGGCGCAGGAACGTTGCAGAATGAAAGAAGGGAGGGGAATGTGGCTGGAGGTTAGTTCTGTGGGTACGGTGCTGGTCCCTGGCCAAGCCAGAAGGAGAGAAATGATTGGGCGGGATTGGTGGGGAGCGGGGAGTTCCATTGTAATGGTACAGAAGAAGAAATGGGAGTGTTCCTGGCTGCTGGGCTCCCTCCCGGCAAGGTGTGGCCAGAGCAGGATTCTGGCTCACAAGCAGCCTTGTTGCACAGCAGGTCCCAGGCAGGCTTTGGGTAGACTGTCCCCCATCGCCTGTACTGCTGCTGTGGCTCTCTTGATTGTATGATACGAATGCTGTTTGTAATTAAAGCAACAATGTGGACTCAAGATCGGCCGTCTCTGCTCTGTCAATGGCGAGTCAAGGAAAGAGCGAGCGGGAGAGGCATCGGATTCAGCTCAGCTCGCTTGTGTGCTTCTCTTTGTTTGGGGTGCTCAGGCGAGGGGCTGGGCCTGGGGGTTAATCGGATCCAGTAGGGCAGAGGGCTGCCCCGTTAGGGTTGCCAAGTCCAGGTTGGAAAATACCTGAAGGCTTTGGGAGTGAAGCCAGGAGAGGGCAGGGTCTGGGGAGGGGAGGGGCCTCAGCATGGCCCAGTGCCATAGAGTCCACCCTTCAAAACAGCCGTTTTCTCCAGGGGAGCTGATCTCTGTCGGCTGGAGACCAGTTGTAAAAGCGGGAGATCCCCAGCCCCCGCCTGGAGGATGGCAACCCTATGCCCCGTCTCAGTGTCCTGGCTTCCAAAAGTCGCAAGACAAGAGGACAACAGGGTGTCTGTTGTGGGGAGATTGCAAGATGCTCTGAGACTCCTTTGAGTAGTGAAGGGCAGGGTATAAATCCAATCGCCTCTTCTTCTCTGCGTCCCGAGCCCTGGTATTCCTTGGAGGTCTCCCTTCCAAGTACTGGCCTGGGTCAGCCCTGCTTAGCTTCCGAGATCTGACGAGATCGGGCTTGCCCGGGCTATCCAGGTCAGGGCAACTTGACAGCACCACTTCCCCCCGCCATTCAGACGATCAAGGTCGGGAAGAGGGATCGGAAGGATATGAGAACAAGCAGGGCTTTTTTTGTAGAAAAAGCCCAGCAGGAACTCGTTAGCATAATAGGCCACACCCCTGACAGCAGAAACTCATTAGCATATTAGGCCACATCCCTGACAGCACAGCTCATTGGCATATTAGGCCACACCCCCATGTTACCAGAAGTGTGGTCCCCCAGCCACACCCACCTTTTGCTTCTTATTCTGTTTACCTTGTTTGTTGTCAAAACCCAGGGCCTTTTTTTGTAGCAGGAACTTCTTTGCATGTTAGGCCACACACCCCTAATGTAGCCAATCCTAATGAGTTTCTGATGTTGGGTGTGGCCTATTATGCTAATGAGTTCCTGCTGGGCGTGGCCAACTTGGGAGCCAGCCGGAACTCCGTTCCTGTGCGTTCCTGCCCAAAAATAGCCCTGAGAACAAGGAACCAGCAGAGAAATAGTCCACAAAAGGAAAAAATGAAACTGCCTTCTACTGAATCAGACCCCTTGGTCCATCAAAGTCAGTACTGTCTACTCAGACTGGCAGCGGCTCTCCAGGGTCTCAGGCGGAGGCCTTTCATGTCACCTGCTGCCTTTAACTGGCGATACCAGGGATCGAACCTGGGGCCTTCTGCATGCAAAGCAGGTGCTCTGCCACCGAGCCATGGCCTCTCTGAAGTATAAAGCGCTCAGTTCAGGCCTGTTCCTACATCACACTGGCTCTGGTATCACCATCACCGTGGGCGGTGGCTTACAGAACTCGATGGCAGTTCTAGGCTAGGGAGCTGTGCCCCCCCCCCCCCGGTCCCCTGCAGCCTCAACACAAGCAACCTTTGGGTCAGCGCTCCTCAGCACTTCCCCAGTTGCTGGCCTTAGGAGAGATTTGCCTGGCCCGAGGTCCTGCTGCTTTGCACACCCCAGGGCCGCATTTCCCAATTAGCCTGTCCCGCCAGGCGGATGACCCCCGACACTGGTGGACAGTCCGGGATCCGTGCATGTGACTCCCCTGCAGGCTGTTTTCCCCTATAGGGCAATGCTATGCGCCCTCTCCAGGAAGCCCCAGAGCCAAATCAGAGGGTTTGTGTCGCCCCTCCCCAATTTGGAGATTAGCCTTTTGAGTGCAACAAGGTCCCAAGGACGAGGCTTGTCACCGCCTTTCAGGGAAACATGACAGAGGAATGCGACACTTCCCTGCAAGCACAACATCGGCTCCGCTAGCCCAAGGATGGGGGAGGAAGAGGAAGGGTTGGGGTTGGGAACTCAACCAGGCCCTTCTCACCTCCTCCTCTAGTGGAATGCACCCCTCGCTCCATGAGTACCTCTGGGCTCCACACCATGTCCACGTTCCACTCCCGTCTGGCTGCCACGAGCCGTGCACCCACGTGATACCTTTCCTTTTTAATTTACTTTTTGTTGTATGTTTTCAAAACCACCATGCAGAGGAAGAAAACAAAAGCAAAGATGACAGCATCAGAAGTGT